ACACACAGACACACAGACACACAGACACACAGACGCACAGACACACAGACACACAGACACACAGACACACAGACACAGACACACAGACACACAGACACACAGACACACAGAGACACACACAGACACACAGACACACAGACCCACAGACCCACAGACCCACAGACACACAGAGACACACAGAGACACACAGAGACACACAGAGACACACAGAGACACACAGAGACACACAGAGACACACAGAGACACACAAAGACACACAGAGACACACAGAGACACACAGAGACACACAGAGACACACAGAGACACACAGAGACACACAGAGACACACAGAGATACACAGAGACACACAGAGACACACAGAGACACACAGAGACACACAGAGACACACAGAGACACACAGAGACACACAGAGACACACAGAGACACACAGAGACACACAGAGACACACAGAGACACACAGAGACACACAGAGACACGCAGAGACACACAGAGACACACAGAGACACTCAGAGAGAGACACACAGAGACACACAGAGACACACAGAGACAATCGCAGACGCCAGCAGGCGGGCTGAGATACTGGGCCTGAGGCTAGTCTCAGGCTGGCATACTTTGAGACCAGGCCAGTCTCAGGGGGCCGGCCTAGTGGCTGGCATGCTCTGAGATGCGCCGGGGCCTGGGCTGGGCAGGCTGGGCTGGGCTTGCTGGGGGTGTTTCAGACAAGCTTGGGCCTGAGGTTGGGTGGGCACTTCGGCTTTGACTTGGTCTTGGGAGCAGGTGGTCCGCCAGGTTGAGGATCCAGCCCTGCGGCAGGAAAGGCTGAATCGGTGACAGGCGGTGACATCGAGGGCCTCGCGTGGACTCTGGCGCAGTATTGACCACGTGCTGCAGCAAGGAGGCTGGTGCAGGCGCGGCTGCGGAAGAGGCCGTGGAGACTACGCTAGCTCGGGTGTTGGTGAAGGCAGCCACTGCATTCTCAACACGCACTGCGCCAGTCATGCTGGCGCTGGCCACGGTTCTGTCGGCAGTGGTTTTTTTCCAGGAGGTGCGTACCCAAAATCTGGTATCCTCCAAACTGTCGGGCACCAGATCATCGGGTATACCTCCCCCAGCTGCCACCACAGCAGAGATTTTGCGCCTCCGTGCGGAAAGGACGACAAATGAGGGACTGAACTAGGTTTTGCCAGTGCATCCAAGTGGCTCCGAAATGCCCTTGGCGCGCATTTCCTTGATCGTGAGAGGCTCCATGACCTTCTTGTTCTCGGCCTCGGAGGTGACAAGCATCTCGCAGTGCGCCTGACAGGCAGCAGCACCTCCAGAGCACCTGGGCGAGCACGAGAGCGCAGAAGACTTAAGTCCTGCGCAGCCGACAAGAGTCTTAACTGGAGGAAAACGCTTGCTCTGATTGGCAGTGTCATGCTAGATATACCACGCATTGAAAACGTGCGTGTGTGCCATTGGCTAACTTAAGTTAAGACTGTCTAACGACTTCCTACGAGTTAACTGAAGTCTTGCTACTCAGTAAGATAAGCGTTAAGCACAAAGCTAACATTAGATACGTTTTTTAACTCAACCCGCAACGCAACCCGCCTGGAAGTCGATGGTCATGATGGAGGCACCTGCTGCAGAAGCGAGTGGGAGGAGCCAAACACATCTGGCCAGGGTCCGGACATGCAGATGGCAGGAGATGGGGTCCTTGTCTGAGGGGGGCGATCCAAGCTACGGGCGACTCATAAAAAGTGTCCTGCATATATACGACCATGGCTCTGGGAGTGCGACCAGCCCAAAAAACTAGGGCGTGGTGGCTGCAGAGCCGTTGGAACTGGGGCTGGTGCCCGGGTCAGCAAATAAAAGCCACTTCGCGCAGCACGCTTGATTGCAAGGTAGAAGGACCTATGCAGGAAGATGCGCTGCAAACACGAAAGCACGTGGCTTCTTTCACTGGCGGCCCCAAGGCGTGGTTTCACGCGACTCCCCCAAGTCTGCAGCGGCAAAAAAGCCGTTGCAGAAAACCCAAGCGTGCAGAGCACTCGAACTGTGATACGTAAAGATATCACGAAATCACGCCATCTTGCGGCGCTTCAGCTCTTGGAAACTCAAATCGCCCAGCAAGCTGCACCTCTCTGCCGAAAGCATCCAGGCCGTGTTGGCTGCCTGCCAGGTAGAGCCTGCAGCGGTGTGCAAGTTTGGCCCGCTCGGCTTCTGGGGTGTGTCATAGCAGCTGGAAGCCGCAGACTGCTGCCTTTTCAAGGCAACTTGGGCACTTGAGTCTGACGCCTGCTCGCACTCAGTAAGCCAGCTGGTCAAGAAGGCCAAGACCTGCAGAAAGATAAACTACAGCAGGCCTGGTCAAGAGGTCCCGCCTTGTCGGTACTTTCAGAAGCGGGTGTGGCAGTGGAAGAAGTGGCCGGAAGCGCAGCTGACAAAGTGTCCCAGTCAAAAGCCTCCGCCTCCGTGCCTGACGGCGCGCTGACTTTACACTTCGGCTGAGGGTGTTCGCTGAGCTGCTCGGGCTCCTCGAGTGGCTGGATCAGCCCAAGTTCCTCAAGCCGACACACAAGCATCGCTTTACACTGGGCTAGCTTGTCGCTTTTGGACTTATCAGGGCTGTGGTTCATGCACGACTTGAGGCGGCTAGCAAGTCGGCGCGCCCCCTCTCCGTGCTTGGCGGCCCACGCGGACATCTCTTCATGCGTCGGCGCACAGGGCGCCGCGTTGTGCTTTGCGTGAAACTGCAGCACAGCTTTTGCCAGGGTGGAATCAGAGAGCCTCTTGTCTCCAAAGGCGCAAAGTGCTCCAATAGCCACCTGGCAAGCGCATCACAGGCACAAGGCTGAAAGCAGACATGCGGGCCTCTGAGTTGCACTCTACATCCTTCAAGGCTGTGGCGCCATCCCAGAAGCCCTTGCTGTGGCACGATGAAGCTCGCGCCGGCCTGGCTTTCAATCACATGAAGTTTCAGTCTGTGAGTTGGGCCGGCCTCTCGCAGACGTGAGAAATGCGACCACTCCTGCACGACTGTGTCGATCAGGTCCGGGCACCTCTTGGACTGGGTTTCCTTCGGCATAGGTCCACGCAAGCTTCGGCCCTAGCAGAGCTGGCAGTGTGGCCGAAATGGCTGCGAAGACTAGTGTCGAGCAAGGGCGGGAGAACGTGTCGCAAGTGCAAATTGTTTCCTGCGATCTCCGGCCTCCCCAGCCTAGAGTCCTACAGTGGCCACATCACATGAAGCGGCGCTTCTTCAGCTCCGCCTCTGGCAAGGTTGCCAGAAGTGCTGCGCGCTCGGCGCTCAGCATCCACTGCTTGGAAGCATCCTTAAACTTCAAGGTAGGGTTTTGAGCTTGCAGCTTGCGGATGTGCTGCACGCGGAGCTGATTGAAGTTCCCAGCCTTGTACGCCTGCGACCAGGTCTTGCGCCCCCCAAACGTGTGAGCGCAACTGCCTGCTCAGTGTCTGGCGCAGCTGGCTCTGCAGGTGGAGCAGGTGCCGCGACTACCTCCGGCTTGGGCTGTTGGAGCGAAGGCTGTGTGGGCGGAGAGGCCGCAGAAGCAGACAAGGAGGCCAAGGTCTCAAGCACCTGGAATATGGTTGCAGACAAGCATATGTTCGACACTAAACCAAAAACTGAAAAAGACTTGCTTCTGGGCAGCTTCCAGCTTGGGAGCTACTGGGCTGGGCTTCTGCGCTGCCGCGGCAACAGCGCCCTCCAAAGAGCCCCAGTCAAACAGGTCGCCTGCCGCCTGCATGAAATCAGCACCTGTGTGGGGGCATCCGGACAAGATCGCAAGTGGCCGAAGAGGGTTGCTCCGAGCCAAAGACTTAAGCTCAGAAACCTCTGTGTTGTAAGAGCCCGAGTTTCTCAAGAGCTTAAGCCCCTTGGCGTGCAAAGCTTTGAGTGCGAATGCCGTGCGGTCCACATAGCTGGCCAGCGAGTCATGAGGGTGTGCGGCCTGGCAATTTGTACAAAGCAGCCAAGCTGGCAGCAATGATACTTACTGTCAGGAAGTTGGGGCAGTCCAGCTGGAGCAGTGGCAGGACTGCCTTGCCGCGACTCGGCTCGCTGCAAAAAAATCAAAAAATCACGCCTCTTCATTTCGGACGACATCCTCCGTAGTCGCGACCCCGGAGTACAAAGTCTGGGAGTGAGGCGTTACGAAGTGGAAGCCGGCCTGACAGAGGGGCCACAGGCGCCCAACTCAGCTGTAAAGACGCGCCTCTGCCAGCGGCTTCGAGGCCGCCCATCGATCGCAGATGGCCGTGGCAATGTGCTCCGCGCGTGACCTCAGGCATGACACAAAAGCTACGAGCAGCTTAATTTTGGATTTGTCTCGCTCAACTGTGTTAAATGTAAGAAGACAAAACAAACAAAGTGTGCATCTTACTGAACACAGTTACAACTTAATCAACTAAGTCTCTCTTAATCTAGTTAAGCCTTAAGAAGTGCATGCGACAGCTACCTAACACGTGTTCAAACTAGTGAAAGCACAGTTAAATTAATTAAAGTCAAACAAGCCAAGCTGCTCACTTAATTTAATCTAATTTTTTGACGGGCATATGTCCGTCTTAAAGGAATGAAACTCGAAGCAGCTTTCCTCAATCGCATGGCTAGCTAAGCGTTAAGCGCTCGACTAAGTAAAGATCACTTAACGTAAATAAGTCTACACAAAACTATGTTTAAGGGAAGGGTTTGTTTTCCCCTTCCTGGCTCTTACAGCTGAGGGCGGCGCAGCTGAGGTCCGGACATCTTGTCGAAAACCTGGGCAGGCGAGAGCGGAGAAACTGACACACAGTTGCACTGGCGCAGCTGAAGCGCTCAAACAGCTCGGGCTCACGAGTTTTTCCCGTCAAGCCCGCAGTGCCCTTCTAGAGCGGACGGCCTACTGCTTGCCCCCGCTCATCCACGAAAACCCGCCTGCGACAAGACGCAAAAAAAAGGCAGCACGCCTGAAAGCCTGCCAGCCTCCGTGCGTCCCAGTAGAACACTGGGCGCCTTGGCAACGGTCGAGGTACCCGCGGCCTGGCAGCGCGACGAGGCAGCCCCTGCGTGGTGGTTTGAGCCCGCCTCCACCCGGGCGGGGCAACTCCACCGCGTACGCGAGCAGACAAGGGCACAGGCGCCCTCACAGGCCGGACTGGTTCTGGCTGAGGTGGCTGAGGCGGGCGCGGAGCTGGTTCAGGCGGCGCAGTTGGAGAGACCACCTTGGCTGGCTCCTTAGCTGGCTCCGGGGCGTGGGCTCGGCCTCGCCTCATCCCATCCGTCATCCACTTCGGCCTGCAGGACACAAGTGCAGGCAAGCAGACGCCGTTTGAGCTGCTTGCCTTGCAGTTCGGAGCTGCTCCTCCTGCTTCGTCTTGGCGGGCGGGCGGGCCTTTGAAGGCACTTGGCCAGCTGGCGCGCGGAAGAGCGCAGAGTGGGGAGGTGTCCTCCGCCCTTTCCGCCTGCGGGGGCGGAGGCGGCCTCCGCAGCCCCCGCTGGCTCTGCGCTGGCCGCTTCAAGCGGGGCAGGCTCTGGTTCGTCTTCGGCGTCCTGCGCCGCGACTAGAAAAAAAGCACGTATAAGTGTTGCACAGACACTGACTGACACTCGTCCTCCCCTTCGCGCGCCCGCTTTCTGCCAGGCATGGTGGCACTAAACGGCTGCGGACGCCAACGACGACACACGTGCGTGCAACCAACTTGAATCTGTAACGCATACAAGGGCACGCACGCAAACACAAATGTATGCTTGACGCAGATCAATATCGGAAAAAATACACGCCTGCTAGCCGAGCCAGTCCTGGCAACGCATAGTGACACACACACACATATGTATATATAATATAAGTATATGTGTGTGTGTGTCCGACAGTGTGTGTGTGTGTGTGTATGTATGTGTCTGTATAGTCTACTTTAGGAAAAAACAGTGGCGGCTCGACAAACACGGCCGCGCGCGCCTTGGGAGCGCGCCCCGGATGCCGCAAACCCGTAAAAGCTCGCGGGAGCGGCAAAGGTGTGTTCACGAACATCTGGCTGCAACGCTACGAGAAATTGATTGAGGAGGAAAAAGAGGTCTCATTTGTGCATTGCTCAAATGTGGACGCGTGTCTCAAAATATATCGAATACCGTGCAAAATGGTTCCGTCATCACCTTCATTTTCCTGCCCGCGGGGGGGTAAGTTAAATATGCAGGGGGTTAGCTCAAATTGAAAAGTAATTAAGTTAAAACCCAGAACAGCCCATTTAAGTTAAATTTGGGCTGTTCGCGGTGTTCAGGCTCTCTGGCTTTAAAAAGGGCTGTACATTATGTATCGGATTTGGACCGCCTGCAATATCCTTGGTATCAAAGCAGAGCAGTTCAGAGGTGTCAGCCACAGAAGGACATTGCCTTCGTCAGCGACACGATATTCCGATGCATTGCCCTTGGCCTCAATTGCGACTACATGACCTTCTACAGAACAGATCGGGCGCAAGTACATCATTTGCGTTCAAAGCGTCAAAGAGGTTGATACTCCTCTTATCCAATGGTGCTATTCTCGCAATGTACATCTGCCCTCGCGCTACATCGAGAAGATCAATCGGACCGAGGAGACACCACATTCTCTGCTAGAAAGGTTCCGATGGAGGGCGAGTAGAAAGGCCATCGCAGAATCGTCGCACTGGTGATCAAGCATTTCCATTGCGATCTCTACTATGTGGGGGATCAACTGGAGATTGCGCTTTGCGCAACGCAATCGTGATACTCATCGTGCATGGTACCATGGTCAGCCCTCGTGGTATCTCGTGCACGGTACCATGGGCAACCCAAAAGTATTTGCATGAGACTTGCATTTGTCACCACAGAATGTTTTCTTGCTTCCGTACAGTATCGTCATCGGCGACTACTATTCCCCAGTCCTTCTTTAAGCGCTGGTTTCAGCACTGATTCGCGAATCAGCGCTGGTTTCACAAGGAAAAGTATGGTTTTTGTGTCGGATCAGCGCTGATCCACTCGAGCAAGCGCTGAAACCTTCGAGTAAGCGCCGGTTTCAGCACGGATTCGTCGAATCCACGCCAAGATGGCAAGGATCCAAGTTGACACTGATTCGACGAATCCTCGTCACGTGACAGGGCTTCGATGAGTCCTCGTTGGGTTGACACTGATTCGGCGGGCCAAACTGCAATCAATAAAAAGGAGCTTAAGCTTCCTTGGACTTGCGGGAAGGGATATGCACCAGGCTTCCACGGGACAAGCTGCAAGAAAAAAAAGGAGCTTAAGCTTCCTGGACTATTTTTAAAGTGTCAACAGAACGACCGTGCTAAGAACTCAATCACAATCAAGATTTGCAAGCAAAGAAGTCGGCGGGTCAAACTGAACACAGAGCAGGATCTTGCTCTAGCTTTACTTGGACTTGCTCAAGGACGGGAAACGTTCGAATGAACAGCGCAACAAACCAGATAATTTGAGTAACACTCTTGAGGAAGGAGCTCAGAGCATCCTACAACCCTCGTTGGAAGAAGAAGGCGGCTACTACTAACATTGACTGTGCACAGCAGCCTGCGACCTCGCACTGCAAGCGCTTCTTTTTTTCAACGCGGAGCAAACTTCAGTCTTGCATGGCTCGGCAACGCTGCAAAAATCTGAATGCTATTGTGGAACTTACGGAGCAGCCTCCTCTTCTTTTGTTAGCTTTTGCCATGAAGCCGCACCAGGACTAGTCTCTGTAAGTCCAGTACAAGCGAGGGGAGCCGTAGTCATGTGACTGATATTCCACAAGTTCCTGCAAGAGATGCAGCTTAGGCTTAAACTGCCAAAGGTTGTCGCCTTTGCCAGAGGCCCTTAGGGCCTCGTACATGAGGCAGAACCGACGACAGTGTGCAGCTGCAATCTCGGAATTATACTTGCCCTTCGATCCGGACACCCACAGCTGCAAAGTCCAAAGCTCACTGAACAGCTCAGCTATGGCTGACATTTCTGCGCTAGATGGGTCTGCCTGGTGCAAGCTTTTGGAAAGGTCGACAGCGAATTTGATGATGTATCTGCACTCTGCACCCTTGGCTCGAAGCTTCGGCTTTTTGTTCGTGCCTGAGCGCTTTATCATCTCTTCCGTCAGATTGTCTAGTCTCGAGGCAGGCTTCGATTCAGAACACCAGTCTTTCAGCAGCCGCCATAAAGCTGCTATCCTAACATCTTTGTTAGGCCCGTCCAGGTAGTTATTATTCCTGATGAGTGTCCAGAAAAAGCAGCCCCGCACCAACGCCTAAATCCACTATGTGCAGCCAGTCTAAAACCACATAGCTCAGGCGAAAGCCTGGCAGCTGAAGAAGCGGACTTACCTGAATCTGCTGATCCCGAAGTGACTGCAGAAAGTCGAAGTCTGACAGTCTCTCTTGGCGCCAGGGGGCAGCCAAGCTTGTGGATGTGTAAGCGCACGGGCCCTCGAGGGCTGCTGCGCATTTCCAGCAAATGCGAGGGCTGTTCCAAGCTGGAAACGAAAACAGTGCACGGAGAAATGGCCAGTCTCCTCGGACTTGTAGCAATAAAGCCCTGCATGCAAGGGTCGACCCAGCGGCCAAGTGCCTGCGGCAATCCCATTCGTCGCCATCAGGATCTCGAGAAAAGACAACTCCCAGAGATAGCATGCGGAAAGACCAAGCAATGACTTTCATCACAGCATGCCAAGTTTTCGGCCCGACACATTTCTTCGAAATGGCAGTTATTCAAACTGGCAAAGGCCAGGAAAAACATCTGGCATCTTACAGCCTGCCAGAAAGCGTCGCATCAGATTTC